CATTTTTGGCACACGTGCCAGGGGTTGCCCACCCCTGTACTAGAGGCTCAGTTATGAGGCTTGATTTGTGAGATTGGGCCAAAACCAGCTCGCTGACATTCCCTGAGGGGTCCCGGATTGCAAGAGGGCACAGGCCAGGCTGAGTGACCCCACTGGTGCAGGATCAGGACTGGGGAGGGATGCGGGAGGTTGGCCAGCTGGGGAGGTACCACACGAGGGCTCCAAGGTGTGCCTGGCCCATCTCACTCAGTCCTGATCAGCCAGACCCCAGCAGCAAGCTAACCTACCAGTTGGAGCGTCTGCTCCCTGGTGGTAAGTGCACGTCATAGCACGTGGTTGAGTAACCTTAGCATATCATTACCCTATTATGTTTTAATTGGTTGAACGACCAACTTGTCAACTGGACACTTAGCATATATAGGATAACCCCCAAAATATAAAATCCACAAGAAAGTAATTAACAATCACAGGCAAGCCCTCATTGCAAAAAACTACACGTAATTTCTGAAAGAAATTAAGTAGCTAAATTGAGAGATATACAGCATTCAAAGAATAGAAGAATTAATGTTGTTAAAAAGTCTATTCTCCTCTAATTTTTCTACAGTTTTAACAAACTTCCAATCATAATTCCAGCAGTCTTTATAATAGAAATTGACAAGCAAATTTTAAAATTTGTATTAAAATTCAAATTTAAATCTTGAATGTCAAGGCAATTACAAAAAAATATATAGATAACTTTCACTACCTGATTTAAAGACTTACTATAAAAACAGTATTTAAGACAATTCAATGTTCATAAAGGAGTGGTCATATAAATCAATGGAATAGGAGAGAAAAGCTAGAAATAGAACTACACATATACAGTCAACTAATTTATGAAAAGCTGCAAAGGCAATGAAGGAAAGGACATGAGGAAAGTCCTTCAAGAAATGATGACCATACATCTGGACATACAGATCAGGGGGGAAATGAACCTCACCCCTTACTTATATCACACACCCACAAATTAATACAAAGTTGATCATAGCCCCAAATGAAAAATGCAAAACTATAAACTTTTTAGAAGAAAATAGAATAATCTTTGTGACCTTGATTGACCTTTTCAGACAAGCTTGTAAAAACATTCCCTAAACATTATCAAAATCATACTCCTAAGGAAGGCTATTTCCTATATGATATGCAAATCAACCTAATGGCAGAATGACTGGTCGCTATGATGTGCACTGACCATCAGGGGGCAGACACTCAACGCAGGAGCCCTGGGCGGGGCTCATGGCTAGGGAGCGCAGTGGCGGTGGCAGGAGCCTTTCTCGCCTCTGCAGCAGCGCTAAGGATGTCTGACTTCTGGCTTAGGCCCACTCACTGGGGGAGCAGACCTAAGCCATCAGTTGGATATCCCCCGAGGGCTCCCGGACTGTGAGAGGGCGCAGGCCAGGCTGAGGGACACACCCCCCCAAGTGCACGAATTTTGTGCACCGGTCCTCTAGTGTATATATATATAAAAGGCTAATATGCAGAGTGTCCCCTCAGGAATTCGACTGGGAGACTGGGAGTTCAATCGCTATGACGTGCACTGACCACCACAAGGCGGTGGGGAATGAAGAGAGGAAGGCCCCGGCCAGCAGCGAGAAGGCCCCGATCTACCCTGATTGCCAGCCAGGCCTAGGGACCCCACCCGTGCACAAATTTCATGCACCGGGCCTCTAGTGGGAAATAAAGGAGAATTTATTTTAAATATACTGTTTTGCATCTATTAGACTAGCAAGAATTATGGTTCCTTGTGTGGGCCAGGATAAGAGGAGCTAGGCAGTCCCCTACCTACACTCAAAAGAAAAGAAAAAGTGTATACTGTTAAATCCTTTTGCAAGGGTAAAATGGTAACATAAGCAATGTAAATGTTCATGTTCTTTGGGCACTTCCATTTTTAGAAATTCATTCCGAGGAAACAATCAGCTAAGTGCAAAAAGCAACACACACACACACACACACACACACACACACACACACACTATATGTATGTATACACAACCCCCGCCCTCCACCCCCAGAATGTTCAGTGAAGTGCTGGTTGAAATAAATAAAAAAGTTGGCAGTTTTCTATAAACTCTTTTTGCAAGATATACTATATTTGAAAAAGTACAAAAACATCTACTACAACAACCATCGCTAATCTTCTTAGTGCCCAGGGAAAACTGATTTCATCATCAGTAAGTAATAACAGCAGTCGAAAATACGGGGCCAGCAAAATTTGTAAAGACCAAGTTTGTAAGCAATTTTTTTTTTACAACAAACTCCTATTTCGATACTAATTTACTATGCGTTTTCATAAATTGAAATTACACTTGTCTTTCCCAATTACTGCAAGCATTTACTTAATATGTATACAAAGGATTTTTTAAAGATGAAGTAATTAGCACTCATCATAGGTTGCATCCCATAGTGTCTGCTTCCCAAAAGGCAGTTAGTTGCAAGCTGCACTGTACTTCATAACTGATAAAAATCTATTTGGTTTTTAAAAACCATGCATAGGACATAGCTGTAGGTTGAGGAATGCATAAATGACTAGATCGTTTGATGGCAGCAAGTATGCCCTCAATTACATTACATTTGAGATCCAATGAAAGAAAATAAAAAAGTAAACATTACCTTCTCCGGTAACCCCACCTGCTAAGGCCTCTTACCTTGATTCTTGCTTCCTCTATAAATTCTAGAGGGGCTTTCCCAAACTCAAATGCAGCTCCAATCCAAGGAATCCAGCCGCTGATGCACGGGGGTCCGCTCCAGTTCTTCCATTGAAGAAATAACAAAAGAGCAACGCAACCTAGGATTATAAGTACTGACGGGAAAATTAGTTCCATGTTTTTGTCTAGCACCTTCCAGAATCAGAGAGGAAAAGTCCTGCTGCCATGGCACTTGTTCCTTCCCTCTGCGAATCGGGAGCACCCACCGGACCTCGCAACCTTTCCTGCTGCAACTTTTGCAGTTTCCTTTGCCTTTCTAACTGTAGTCGCCTTTCCCCGCCCCAGTGTTTAGATGACTTTTGCATCATCGCTCCCTCCCACTTCTCTTTCAGGTCTTGGCCAACCGGTTCGTCGTGCTGAAGCTGGACCCAGGTCGAAGGGCGGGTTCCGAATGGCCAAGAGGGGGAAAAAAAACAACCCACGCGTTGTTGCCATGGATACCGGGGCCCAGCGAGCGCGTAGATTGCGGCCAATCAGAGAACGCGGCCCGAGAGGCGCAGAGTGCGGAGGACTACATTTCCCAGAAGCCTCGCGGGCTCCGCGTTGTTTATCCGTTCTCAGTCCGCTGGACCACTCGGTCCTGGGGTTGTTAGGAAGGTTGCGAGTTCCAGGGGCCGAGCCAGAGAGGGACGCGGACTCCGCCACGCCCTTGGTCGGTTGAGGAGAGGCCGCCCTGGCCAGGCGGCACGCCAGCTGTGGCGCGCGCGCCGGCCGGAAGGGGTGCATTGTCGTCCTGTCCTGCTGCTGAATGTCGGTCCCAGAGGATGAGGAGAGGCTTTTGCCGCTCGTCCAGAGATGGCCCCGAGCGAGCAACTTCGTACTGTCGGGCTGCGCGGCCACCGTGGCCGAGCTAGGTACCCGGACGCCCACTCCTGGGTCTCTCCCGCCGGTCGTTGTGGCGCCACCCTGGAAAGGGGTGGCATTGGGGGAGCGGGGAGGGGAGGGAGGAGCGGTAGGGCCAGCAGATGGCTCCGTTCCCGGTGTGTGCAGTCGGCGAGGTTGCGCCCTGACCTTCCCCACGTGTCCCGCAGATGTGGCGGGGTGCGGGCAAGGCCAGCTTTGTGTGGAGGAGGGATCGGGGGTCACCAAGGTCCTTGCTTTCCAATTTCGTCTCCCTCGAAGGTGTGCAGTTGTACCAAAACGTGTACTTTTAGGAGCTTCCTCTTAAGGCATCATTTTCCCTTTAGTGAGGATGACCTTTTGAAAAACAAAATCCACTTTTCATCCTTATTGAAATAATCTCTTGGGTGTATATTCTTTTTTTAAAAACTTATCTTTACTATTGAAACTATTACGTATGTCCCTGTGATTTATATTCTTATACAGCCTCGCTACATCACTGTCTTTTGGGTCCAAATTGTGGAACCAACTTGTGGGACTTAAGTTATTAACCTGTCACACTTAATTGAGCCTGTACTCAGCATCTGCCAGTTGGCCACTTGGAGCTTAACTCATCTACTGTGTTTACCTTGCAGGATTCTGAGAAGTCAAAAATAAATAAATACTAAATCCAAGGCAAGACCCCCAATAATCGTGTTGTTATTATTATAATTACTGCAATGCTAGAGACTGTGGAGATGTAGTTTAAAAGGCCCAGTTCTGACCTTACAGGCTGCTGGCGAGACATGCATTCTTATAATGAAGGTATTGTTAGGTATCATAAGAGCACAGAGATGAGCAGGTACCTCTGTGTAAGCAAGTCAGGGAAACGGAAGGCCACCTAGAGCAGACTGAGGATGCCCTCACAGGAGCAGGTAGTGTTTCTTCCAAGGATTTTGTGAGTAGTGCCTGCCATTCCCTGTGAGGCCTTCACTATGCATTTTCCGATGAGCCTTTCATTTTGTTGCCCATTTAAAACAAACAAAAAGTAACAGCTCTGATGTGTTATCAATTGTACATGTTTGCTCTGTTCTACAATGAGTTTAGTTTGTCTTTCCAGCCCAGCCAGCTCATTATCTGTTGTTCCGCCCTTTGTGCTCATCCACTCTTGCCCTTGGAACCTTCTCCTTTTTTCTCTGTCCACTCAAAACTGATGGAGTATTACTTTCATTCATTGTTTTTACTGAAATATAATTGATCAACTTTTTTTTTAAATTTAAAAGCAGATTGCTGAATGATTAGCTATATTTCCAGGTGGGTCTTTTGTTTTGTTTTTGTTTGTTTTGTTGGTTTTTTAAAATTTATTTAAACTGATGTTTCCCCCTCTGACCAAAGGCTTTTGTAAAGGAGCATTTCTTCTGTTAAAAATTCACGGAGAGTTGTGAGGAGGCTGGAATGGGAGGAGGGAGAATCAAAACATGAGATGGTTCTGAGTGCAAAACAATTTAGGATCAGAACCTGGAGCATGATTTAAGTAACGAGCAAGAAAAACAGATTTGTTTTGAGAGTCATAAGCTATGCTCATATAGAGGCTCCTATGTCTTAAGACTTTTCATATTTCATATTTCAGTAAAGCATTGCTTGAATCCTCTGTATGTTAATTACTTGTTTTAGGAAGCTATCAGCAAGATATAAATTTTTCCAAAGACCAGTGGTAAGATTTAATATTCTCTTCCACTCTGTTTTCTTTTGGAAGGACATAGCTATGGTTTTGTATCAAGTGGGAGTCCTTGAAAAACTTCTGTAATGTTAGCAATGTTCATGAACTTAACTGAATCTGGTCATCTCAGTTATTTGGGACATTGTGTATATAAAGTTATGAGCTTGATATTCCTACTCTGGCCTAGCTAGTGCCGCCCTGTCTCAAGGTAAAAGGCCTATAATTCAAAATGTAATCATTAGAAAAATAATTTTCAAAGGCAGTTGGTACTTGTAAGGAGGCCATGCATAAAAATTGTCAGTGCTGGAAAAACAATATGTGCTTTAATACAAGGCCAATGAGCATGCCATCCTCATATACAGAAAATGACATTATAAACTCCTTATTGCATCTTCTGTATCTCGAACAAGTTAGTGAGTTATCTGCTTGTGAACATCATCTATGAAATTATAGAATTTAGCTTCATCTGGCATTCAGAACCTAGCACAAGTTATACAGTATTCTGAAAGTCACAGTAGATCTTAATCACAATTACAGTCAAGAGAACATTACAGAATATGGATACCTGAATTATAACCATTGGAAAGCAAAACTTAAGGACAAAAAATAGATTTTAGACTGAAATTTATGAACAAAAAGAACCCAAGGCCTGACACTTTTCCTCCTGGTGATTGGGATGTGCTCTGGAACAGTGGTTTGTAAATTTGGGAGCGCGTATGAATCAACTGATTTCCATAGCCGACTTTGATGTACTCTAAATTTGAGAATCACTGATGTTGTGACTAAAGTGTTAGTCCTGTGATTTTAGAATTGTTTGTTTCTCTGATTATTGTGAGTTTCCCCCTCATTTTGTATTTTTTTTGTATTAGCAACCTTTCCCCTCGATCTCACAAAAACTCGACTCCAAATGCAAGGAGAAGCTGCCCTTGCTCGGCTGGGAGACAGCGCGAGAGAACCTACTCCCTACAGGGGCATGGTGCGCACAGCCCTGGGGATTGTCCAGGAGGAAGGCTTTCTGAGGCTTTGGCAAGGCGTGACACCTGCCATTTACAGACACGTAGGTATTTATCTTGATTCTGGCTGGTAAGTTTGTTTTGATTTCTGGGTTTGTCTCCTCTGCTTTTCTGTTTGGCTCTATCCAAAAACCAGCTCATTTTTTCTACTAATGTGATAAATGAATATATAGTCTCTTAAGAAGAACAAAATTAACTACCAGTTGTTATTAAGGAATTATTGCACTCAATTTTTAGAAATACATATAGAATTATTTAGGGATGAACTGTCATGATATCTGTAATATACTTTAAAGTAATTAAGAAAAAACACACAACACGAAGCAAATATGGCAAAAATGTTAGCACTTTATAAATCTGAATTGTAGATACTGAGGGAGTTATATATCATTTTCTCTACTTCTCTGTATGTTTCAAAATTTTCCTAATAAATTATTTTCAAGTTAAGAAAAAAAGCATAATTTATGTATTTATCTATTATGGAAACATTAAACACAAAATTAAAAATGTTTAGGTTCTTGAAAATTAAATATATTTGACCACAATTCCAAATCTCACCAATACGTTAGAAACCAGGCTACTCTGAAGAGACAGCAAGCAAGGATGACTGTCTGTCCAACTCCGGCAATAGATTAAATGCAAAGCAGGTGCTTTTTGTTGCCTGTTTCCCAGGCTACCTAACTAGCTAGCTATGTGGGCCTTTGGTCACTCTTAAAGGAAAATAGCGATAAGCACATTACAGCCAATGAGAGCACTTTTCTGCTCTGCTTCCCAAGTGGCACTCACAAAGATAGGAGGTGTTGAGTTTTCAGCTTGTGGACAGGGGAACATAAACTTGGCTTCAAACGGTGGTAGGGCAGTCCTAAGCAGTGGTTGGAGCATCAGCCCGAGTGCTGAAGGGTCACCCTGGTCAAGGGCATGTTACCCCGGTTGTAGGTTCAATCCGTGGCCTTGGTGGGGGCACATGCAGCAGGCAACCAGTCCATGTGAGAGCACATTGATCTCTCTCCCCCCCCTTCCCTTTCACTCTATAAAAAAAAAAAAAAAAATCAATGGAAAAAAAATCCTCAGGTGAGGATTGGAAAAAAAAAGTGGTAGGACAGGTGTGGCATTTTTCTCCTCTACATTCATCATGTTTCCTCAACTATTGAAGGGACCCTTGGTCAGAGAACCGCCCAGCAGTAACTTCCATCTTATTATTTTTAAAGCTTCAGTTTTTCAGATGAGTAAGTTAGAGTGTATTCATTAAGAACTATCCAGAAATGTACATTTGTATATTTTTGAATATCTTGAAACTGGCACTTTGTATATTTTTGAATATCTTGAAATATTTCATCAAACTTCCAGAAATATCAAGAAAAATTCTCTATATGAATATCATGTACTGATTTTAATGATTTTTACTTTTCATCCTTTAAAAAAATATTTTCTCCTTTGCTTCCCATTGTTTTGAATTTCACTTCTTTTCATGTGTATTTGTTGACCACCATATATGGTTTTACAGTTAAGCTTAATTTGATATATGTAACATGACTGTACTATAATAAATTATCCAATAAAGTTATACATGTTTATTGAATGAAAATGCCCACTGTTTACCCAGCTCTGTACTAGGGCATATAGGGTAATGAAAACCTCATGGTCTGATGAAAAGGTGAGCAAGAAAAGCAAGTCCATCTCTAATCAGTATGATAAATGCTGAATTAGATGTGTGCCTGTGTGGTTCTGTGGGAACACAGGGGAAGCAGCAGGTGCTATGACAGCCTAGAACACGGGAGCAAAGGTCAGAGAATATTTCTGGAAAAGTAGTTCTCTGAGTTGAGTTTTGAAGA